CAAAGAGAGGAATGGATTCTAGCAGGCTGCTTGAAGTTCTTGCCAGTGTAAAGCTTATCAACCAATAAATTCCACCATTATTTATTAATAAATAGGAATATGTTATTTTATTAAGGAAAAATAAACACAATGGGAAGAATATGTTATATCTGTTATTGTTCTGTTGCTGTTAGATTAAGTTCTTCCCTCATAATTTGATAGGTTCTTGCTCACAGCAGCATGTTTATCTCCCCCACAGATCTTAATGGACTCAACCTCTCAGCAGCTTTATATAAACTGTTCCCATTTCTCCTTGAGACAGAGACTACCACATGGGAGATAGCAAAACCTCTGTGTTTGCTGTGCTCTGCTTGTCAACCAGAGAAAAACCCAGATGAGGCTATGCCGAAGGGCAGAGACTTCTCTGGGGAGGTAGACAGTTACCTGACCTCATATATACAGGGTCTACTGGCAATTTTTGCCTGAGCCTACAGGCTTGGAATCACCCCACCTAAAATAACCGGCCTTGTGCCATATCCCACCTTGTGGGGAGGTCTTGGGTAAATACTGAGACTATCACATATACCTGGAGAATTCTTTTCAGTCTGAACCAGTGGTTATTAAACATCTGCTTCTCCTTTTCAAATATATTTTGGTATAATCAATATATTTGCAATTACAAAAGTCATAAAGACTTTTTTCTATATTTTCTATACATAACAAGAAAATTGGTCTTTGTTCATGTCAAGATTATTGAAATAATTTCTAAGCTTATCTAAATGTAAAAAAAGTATAAAAATAGCGACCATCTTACCTTATTTTCCTCTGGGGTAAACTGGATTTTAAATGTAATTGACAAGCCTGGAGCAACATTATGACTTGCCACAACTGGATCGATGATTTTAAAATAAGGTGAATCTTCCTGTTGGACTTTGATAAGTCGTGGTACCTGCCAAATAAATTCATAATATAACAAGCTGATTTCTGTTTGTGGGTAACTTTGTTACTGTAACCAAGCAAAATCAGCACACTTTAGGGAGATTTAGATTAGTGCAATACTATTAAAATACTCTAAATAGAAAAATAAAGCCATTACCAATCCAATTTTTCAATTTAATAATAATAGTGTGGGATGTGTTTATGCTAATTTTTAGAATTATTAGATCATTGCCAAAGTTCATGCCCAATTAGAAATTATATTAACAATGAAAATTGAGCACAAACTTTTGCAAGGATCTGATATAATTAATACTGAATCTTTTTTTTTATTTTATATTTTATGGTGGATATCAGTGAGCTATAAGTAAAAAACAATAATTAATACTAGATTTTCATAAACTCATTAGTACCAGATGTTTTTATAAACCTATAATTAATAACAGATTAAACTGACTTTTTATTCTAATACTAGACATTTTTAGAAACCTATAATTAATACTAGTGTAGCAGTGATTGGTTAGTATTACCACTAATTAGCATATGTGTATAAGTAAACATTATATATAGGCTTGCTACATAAGGCAATGGTACTTGGATTATAGAACTAATACTGACTGCAGACAACTGCAATCCTGACTTGGAATATCATAACAACTAAATTTTTTGGAAACCTTAAATAAATACCAGATTTTTATTTTATTTTTATGGTAAATACTGGATGTTTTTAGAAACCTTTAATTAATAATAGATTTTTTAGATATCTCTAATTAATACCTGATGCTTTTAGAAATATAATACTGAATTTTTTTTTTTTCATACCAGATTTTACTGTGGATATCAATGGGCTATTGTAGAAAGCTACAATGCTAGATTTTTAAAAGCCTATTAGTGACAGAATTTTTATAAACTTATAATTAATAGCAGATTTTTAATTTTTATACTTGATATTGATTTTTTGATTTTTATAATTAAAACTAGATTTTTTAAACTTATAATTAATACTGGATTTTCATTTCAATTTTCATAAATAATACCAAATTAGTGGATATTAATTAATTAAGGTATCTAGTTTATCATCGAGACATTTTGACCTCTGCTTTCCTTTCTCCATCTAAAATTACTACAAGCACAAGACAAGATACATTTTTCTATACAGATTATGTTCTCACCCCTGACAATAGTAACCATTAATAATGGTAGAACTCACTTTCTATGAAAAAAGGGCGTCAACCATTAACTTTGTAAACGCTTTCTTATTTTCCTTCTATAGAGCATACTCTCTCTACTTTCAAAGAATTCTGTTCATTTGGATTCCTAGCCATGTAAGTATTAAGGGTAATGATAGAGCAGACAAAAGCGCTAAACAGGCAATAAAACCAGTTTCTGAAAATGAACAAAATCCCATAGACTGACCTCAAATCATTAATTAAGAAACACATGCCAAATCAATGACAAGACAATGGAGCAGAAAAACACAAAATAAATTACATACAATCTTCCCAAACCTCAGGAAAAAAAACCTGCCATTATGGAAAATCCCAAAGGGAAGAGGTTACTATAACACGACTATGAATAGGTCACACTAAAATGACACATTTATTCTTACTGAGACAAGAAGCAACACCATGATATCCTACATATCAAACCCAATATATCGTAAAACATTTTCTAATTGAATCTGTTGATCTCAAAAAGACAATTTCTTCAAGGCAAACTGCCTAAAAGGACTATTCGAAAATAACATTCCTGAAATCAGTTGGATTATATATGAAAATATAAAAAAAAAATAAAGATTGCCCATTTTTCCTAAACATAAACCAAAATAAATCAGTTATGGCATAAAATGGCTGTAAAAAGTTGAGATGCCATAAAAAGCCACTTAAACTTCTACAGAGACTGCTGAATTAACCTCCTACTTCTTGTTTGTAATAAAAGGGCAGAACACCCAGACACCAAAAAAATAAAAAGTAATTACCTTGTCGTTGTTCTTCAATATTAAAGGTACTTCATAAGTTTTAAACGGCTCGTATTGTTGAAAAAATACTTCTGATGGATATGGCTGGAACAAGGGCTCATCAATACTAACACTAGAAACCTGATGAAGAAAGAATATTTGTTTTGAGGGCAATTTTTTTCTTTTCAATTAAGTACACTAGTGAAAAACAAAAAATGTATTTTAAATCCAAACAAAAGAAATGTTTACAGTCTGATAATAGCTCTAAAAAGAAAAAAAAATTCCTTATATCAGGTTCAAAAGAATATTATGGGCAATTTTTGAGGTGAAATTGTTGAACAAAATTTATTAAAGTATTGCTTCTTAATGTTGCTTAGTAATACTATATACTAATATGAGAGGATTAGGTAAATATAGAATTAGGAAGCTCTAAAACATAATATACAACTTTTAATAAATGATATAGCCACAAACCCCCACTTTTAAAATCTGATTTAGCACCTGTTTTCATTTCATGGCTTCTTACTTGTATATAGTGGATTTCTATGATAGTGATCAGAAAATGGAACTTCATTTAATATAGTGTTTGATCGCTAAAAAAAGTGGTGACGGGCGGGGGGTTTGGCAAGATAAAATGTCAAAAGAATGATACTTTTTGATAAGTGGTTTCTCCCATATCAAGGAGTTCAATTTTCTGGGGTATCCTCATGGTCTCTGTGTTGGCCAACCTTTGTTTTGTTGTCATAGAAATTATCTGGAAAAAGGTGCTTGGAACGAGCTGCAAAAGATAATATTGCATTTGAGAGATGTGATAAAAAAATAGATATAAAAGCTTTTTTTAACTGTTACAAATTTATTTGATATTCTTACCATATTTTGTAACATGAGTCGCAAACACAGCATTCTTTACATTCATTTTCTATTTTTCACTATTTTGCACATGTTTTCCATTAAATACAAGAAAATTAAACTAAATTTTTAAATGTTCATATTCACTAATATTAATTGATCTGTTTTTTATGGCTTACCAACCCTTTGTGGGTTATTTAAAGATGAAGAATATGTTTTTTGTCTTTTTGCAAGTGAATATTGCATTAAGAATTTTTTGAGAATCTCAAAGACTTTTTATTAATACAAGTCTTGCTTGTGATACAATGGACACCCACATGGCAAAGGGAGATATGGTTTATATCTTGATCTCAGGTGTTGTTCTTTTTGTAGCCTAGTTTTCTAAGCAGAATCCACTTTGAATTAAGGACAACGAGGAAGTAAAGGAATGGATGAGGGCTTTTTGGAGGTCAAGTGACAACAAAACAGGAAATAGAGTGTATCCGGATGCTAGTCTATATTAACAGACATGCTTGTAATAGGAGTTAGTTCTAGTCTGCCCTTAGTGAGAATTGGACTTCTCCATAGTGTGGTTCCGATGCTGTCCAATTATATTGCCAGCCATACATCATGATGTGTAGATGGGCAAGGAGTTGGTAAGAGAGTAGAGCTGAACTGTTAGACCAACATAGCAGAAGTTATCACCTACCTTCCCACCAAGATAAATAAGTGAAACCTTAAATAAAAATACCTATTTTCTAATATGGGAAACAGGGTTCATATTATTATTTCCCAATGTGATATCTTGTCTTTCATCTTGTAACCTTGTGAACATGCAGCAGACACTTTCCCAGCTTTTGGCGCACACCAATGAGAATGAGAATCAAAATGCAATGTGGGTTCACTCACAAAGCTTTGGCCAACCTGTGTTATGGTTTCAGGCACATTGCAACAGTGCTGCCTGCTGGGATCACTTCCCCAGGCAGATATCACCAAGAAGTCACCCTTCTGACAAACTGATTGAATCATTCATTCACTTTCTATGGCTTATCAACCCTTTACAGGCTATTTAAAGCCAGAAAATATTTTTAGATTGTAAGAATTTTTTGTGGGAGATAATAATGGGTTAGTGATACAAGTCTTACTAGTTAACCCATAGCTGGGGGAGAAGAGGTGGATTCATACCTTTCCCAGGAGCATTTGCATTCAAGTGAATATAATGAAGCCAATGGGAATTGGAACTTGGCTCTCTGATTAGCAATTCTGAGCCATTATCCATCACACCACCTATACATCCAAGCTTACAGCACCTGGTATTCCCAAGCAGTCACCCATCTCGGTACTGACCTAGCTCAATGTTGCTTAACTCTGGTGATTATATGGGAAGCAATGTTACAACTTGATATGGCCATAAGCCTTCCTGACAAATTGACCATAGTCAGAAAGCAAACGTTCTAATCATACAAGTGTAAAAGATACGTCCCTATAAAATTCTTAGAAATGTAAACAGATGTAAAATTAATTGTTTTATTTATTTTGTTACTTACTGGAACATCTTCTGGCTCTTCTTTCAACAACTTAGGGTTTCTTGGATGTTTTAATTTTGGGAACACTGCTGAGGTCAGGTAATCATCTTTCCTTTGTATTTCAATGGACATTCTGTTTGATTTAATCTTCCAATTAAATGAAAAACTGCCCAAAAATAAAAACAAAAAAAAAAATTGATTATTCTGATCCATGTCTGAAAATCAACTGACACTTTAACAGTCCACATGATAATACAGTAGCAGCCAAATGTAGTAGTCTGATTGAATGTCATTAAGACATTTTCCTGTGTCTCATCTATTCCTTGTCATAAAATAAAATTGTCTTCATAAGAAGAAACTGGACTAAAAACAAATAAAGAGATACAATTTTTATACATGTTGGTTTTTCATATTTTGGTTATGAGGGCTGATTTGTATGATTTTTCATAATTTAGTATTTCATTTCCAACTTTTATTGCAACATCTCAATTTGGGTGTTGATCATTTTTTATTAAACTGCTTTCATACAGACATGAGTTAATTTGTGTATTTGTTTTATGATTTTGAAATGTTTTTCACTATAACAAACATTTCAACTATTTTCCTTCCGGCTATGATTGCTGTTTTTTTTATATGTGATGCCTATGCTGATGATACATACTCTGATGATGCCTATGCTGATGATGCCTACACTGATGATGGCTTTGCTAATGAGGCCTATGCCAATGATACCTACTCTGATGATACCTAATTTGATGATGCCTACACTGATGATACCTTTGCTGATGAGGCCTATGCTGATGATACCTACTCTGATAATACCTTTGCTGATGATGCCTAAGCTGATGATACAATGGTATAGGAGTGCACCACCAAAAGTCATGATGACCAGAGATTGCCAGTTGATCTTTCCTCTGACCCAGTTCAGTGGGGAAAAAACTGACTGACTACATTCAATGCCTCAAAAACCAAACTAGTAACAGTCCATCATCACCGATCAAACCCTGAATTTTCGCCTGTCATGATGAGCATATGTTCTCTCAGGGAAGCCCTGTGCCTTGAGTGGCTATTAGGACTTAAACTCAACCCAGACCTCAAGTGAGACTCATACATACAATCCATTGCTAAAGATGCTGGACAAATGCTTGGTTCCTTGTACTGCTCCAGTAAGTACTTGACCCTGCCTGCTATCCTCTGCCTTTACAAGGGCCAGATCAGGCCAAAAAATGGTATACTGCTACCATACATGAAAGTCTAAAAGTGTATCAATATCCTTGTGTGTGATGAATTATTTTCCACGCTAAAACTCCTTTCCTACAGATGAAACATTGCTATTTCCATGGCAAATGTTCAAATGAACCCCATTCCTTAGTTCCAACAGTTCTAACCTTCACAGCTAAGTTTGTAGATTTGATTAAATCCATAATGGTTTTGGAAGTGGCTGTTTAGATGGGATAGATTGTTCTGGATAGTGAACGTTATGGAATTGGTCAGTAGTATTATGTATCTGTTCTTGTATAATTTATTATTATGGATAATTGTTGAGATGTTGTGAGTTTCCCGCGTGTCGGTGTATGAATCAAGACAAACACAGTTGTAGAGGAAAATACTGGTATATTCATAAAAGCAATTAACAATAGAGTGATTAGTAGAACGAAGGTTGGTTAGTACGAAACAATATCCAAAGTCTATAGTCCAACGGTATGTACCGGGTAAGCTTATCTGGACTGCTAACGCTGACTCTCTCTCTGACTGACGCTGCCCCACTCTCTCCAGAGCTGACTTATATAAGAGGGACCAGTCCATTACTAGTTAGAAGGTGGGTGCGCCCCAACAATTAATATTTTTTCCTTTTCGGGTCTATTATTAAATTTTGTGTCGCTTTACGTTTTCTTGCAGATCTGCGTTGTTTCTGCTCAGTCTGCGGTATTTGCAGGTCAAACGTATCAAACAATTCGTGTAATTCGTCTTCTTGTGGAATTACTACCGATTCGTCGGTCTTTTCTTCAACTGGTTAATGTGCCGTTTGTGTGTAAATTTGTTTCCTTGTATAATGTATACCATATCCCCAATGCGTTTTTTTATGACCTCTGGTTCCCATGATGTTGCATTATTTGTATAATTTTTGAAAAAAAATTTTCATTAATGTTAAATTTTCGCCTGGGAACCATAGCGACTGTTGAGTGTACCTTATTTTCTGGTATCAATTTGTCAAAAACCAATCTGACCTTTCTTGTAACATTAGTTCCGCAGGTGATAGGCTTGATGGGGCAGATTTATTCGGGGTAATTCGGTACACTTGCAGGAACAGCTGTAACGCCTTTCTAGTCGGGGTACCTGTTGCTTTCCTAAGAGCTCTTTTCAGTGTATCGACGAACCTTTTGCTAGTCCGTTGTTGCAAGTAAGGATACGGAGGAATCCTCACGTGATCAACTTGGAAATTTTGGCAATTTCTGAATTCTTTGCTTGTGAATTGGGTACCGTTGTCACTAACAACAGTATCTACCACCCCAAACCTTGCAAATAATTCATGTAATTTGTTTATTGTATTTTTTTTTTTTTTGAGATGTTGGCCTCTTCATTTGAAAAACTTCGGGCCATTTACTAAAACTGTCGACTACGACCAAATAATGCCATCCGTCAATTGGACCCGCAAAAATCAATGTGAATCCTTGACCATGGCCTGTCTGTTTTTGGCCATGGCTTCTGTAATATTTGTGGTGATTTTGATGCCAAAAATGCAGCCTTTACATCTGCCGACCATAGACGCGATGTCGTTGTCCATACCTGGCCAGTAGACGTATGCTCTCATGAGGCTCTTCATCCTATTTATGCCCGGGTGACCAGCATGAAAGTCTTTCAGTATTCTTTTTTTGAAGTGTGTTAGGATTACCACCTTTCACTGTATAATAGCACATTATCGCACAGAGAGAATGTCTTTTGAATTTTTTCATCTTTACTGGCTAGCTTATTTTTTTACTTCTATTATATATTTGTCTTTTTTCTGCTTCTTTTTGATGTCCTTAAGCGATACTGGTAATTCTCATTATTTGCCAAATTTTCTTCAACCTCATCCTCTGCTCTGAGGGAAGCGATTACAGTATCCTCTAAAGGTTCTGTTGTTTTTTGGGATGAGTCTTGATAGCCCATCTGCGTGACCAATTTTGTGGGTGGACAAATATTGTATTCTGAAATTATAATTTAATAAAATTGTCCCCACCTAAGCAATCTATTTGCGGTGTAAGTTGGCAGACCCTTTTTTGAGCCGAATATCGTTACCAGAGGCTTGTGGTCTGTCTGTAGCGTGAAAAACCGTCCATGTATGTATCGATGGAATTTTGTTACAGCGAAGATAATCGCCAATGCCTCTTTCTCAATTTGTGAATAATTTCGTTCAGCAGGTAGTAGCGATCTGCTTGCATGAGCGATCGGTCGAACTTTTCCATTCTTCCACTTGTGCAATATGCACGCACCTACGCCGTGTGTACTAGCATCGCTCGCCACGATGATATCTACCTTTGGATCAAAATGTACTAGAAATAGATCTGAAGTTAATTTTTCTTTTAAATCCTTGAATGCTTGCTTTCCGCATTCTTTTGTCCAAATCAAGGTTTTTTTTTTTTTAGTAGATCGTTAAGGGAGCTCGTAGAATGTGGAGGTCTGGGATAAAGTCCTGGTAATATGACACCAAGCCTAAAAAAACTTTGTAGGATTTAATATCCTTTGGCTCAGGCATATTTTTTATTGCTGAAGCTTGACTTTTATCTGGCTTTTTCCTTCTTTATTCACTATATGTCCCAGATACTTGATCTCTTCCAGGAGAAAATCGCATTTGTTTTCTTTCACTCGAAATCCATATCTTCTTAACCTTTCAAAACTTTGCGTAAATGGTGTTTGTGTTCATCCACCGATTCACTTTTTACAAGAATATCGTCGAGATATGCTATTGTGTAGTCTAACCCGGATAACATCGTATCCATAATTTTCTGAATATTGCGGGTGTTGTCTTCACCCTTTAACGGTAACCGTTCGTATCTAAACAAGCCTTTTATGTGTGTTAATACATAGTAACTTTGCACTTTCGTTATCCATGGGTACTTGCAAGTATGCCTCGCTAAGATCTATTTTCGAAAAGATTTTTCCGCCATTTAACTTTGCAAACACTTCTTCGGGACTTGGTAGTGGATAGTGAAACTCTTCTATTAAGGCTCGTTTAACCCGGTTGAAAAATCGGCGCAGACGCTAATTTCGCCCGACTTCTTCTTTACGTAGACACAGCCGGCGCTGCCCAGTCACTGTATTCTGTTTTCGAGATCACACCAATTCTCGTTAGTCTTTCGAGTTCTTGATCAATTTTCTCTAATGCGGCAAAAGGGATGCTTCACTTTTTTAAAAATTGGTTGATATTTTTCTTCAGCTGTATTTTTGCTGATGCTTCAGTGCAACGTCCAAGTCCTTCAGCAAAAAACTTCAAAATTCCGTTTTCAATTCTGCTTGTAGATTTTTATATGGTCTTTGCTTTCATTAATGTTGTGGCAAAAGAACTAATGGGCACGTCCCATAGGTTGAACTTAGTGATTGCGTCAGTCCCAAACAGGTTGTTTGTGTCTTTCATTATAAACATTTTCATTTTTATCGACTTATTGTTGAAAGTTATATTTACCCATATTTCCCCTTCAAATTTTATCTTTTTCCAGTTACCGTCCCTGGCTATTTTGTTGGATTTTAGCAACGTTGGTTTTCCTAGATTTTTCCATGTTTGCGTGTTAATGATTGAAATGTCAGATCCTGAATCTAGTTGCATTTTTTACCTTCTTGTTGTACATTTTTTACATGAAGGTATTTTCGAATATTCAGGTCTTGATCTTCGTCTGACTTGGTAACTTTT